ATAAGGATTATCCTCTGTAGTAGTAAAAGCAAGAGTTACAGGATGGTGAAAACCACGGCAATGGACAGGAACTCCTCAGGTAGAAATGCCAGCCAGCACAGTACACCGAGAAACACCCGTATCTGTTTCAGACAGACAAGAAGGCACCAGAAAAGGTTCCCTAGAAGACAGTTTTCTTTGGTAGGACAAAAGCCAGTGTGTAGCACATAGAAGTCCAGAGAAAAGAATGTCATGAAGGCAATAAAACTCTATTCTCCTCTGTGCTACTGTGAGATGAAAACAGGCTTCAAGGCCAGGTCACTACTTACCGTGCCAGGAAGATTCAGGGGGCTGGCACTGGGATGGACCCAGTAAGGCCACCACCGCCTGAAGCACCAACATCCCACATATGTGCCAGGTGCCTCACTTCTGATCCAGCTCCAATAACGTGCCCAGGAAAGTGGTAGAGGATGGTCCTAGTCCTGGGGCCCTGAGAACTACGTGGGAGAATTGGAAGAAGCGCTTGGTCCCTGACTTCAGCCTGACATGCAGCCCCAGACATAGTGGCCATTTGGGAGTAACTCAGCTGATGGAAGACCTACCGGTCTCCTCCGCCTCCTGCTCACTAACTCTGCCTTTCCAATAAAAATAAATCTTTTAAAAACACTAAAAAATTAAAAGAAAAACTTAAATTATTTGACCAGTGATTTCACTCCCCAACAAGTGATCGGAACAGCTGGTGCTGCGCCGATCTGAAGCCAAGAGCCGGGAACTTCTTCTAGGTCTCCCATGCCAGGGTACGGTCCCAAGGCTTCGGGCCATCCTCAAAGGTCTCCCTTCCCAGCCCACAGGGAGGGAGCTGGATGGGAAGTAGAGCTGCTGGGATTAGAACCTGCGCCCATATGGGATCCTGGCACGTGCAAGGCAATGACTTTAGCCGCTGGGCCACCGCACCAGGCCCTCTTTTTCCCTTTATACTTGATTAAACCACATTTTGGTGAGATTCAAATTAAACTGATTTTGTGCTTACACCAATGCAAGTAAGCTTTTACTGGACAAAAACAACCCCAATTGATTGGCCTTAATCTGGGTTCACTAATTTCAACTTCGAACCTTACTTTTAAATTTTTTTAATCTATCTGAAAGAGTTACAGACAGAAAGCTCTTCCATCAGCTGGTTTCATTCCTCAAATGACTACAACAGCCAGGCCAAAGCCAGGTCAGAATCAGCAGCTCCTTGTCTCTATCCCAGCACTTGGACCAACTTCTGCAGTTTTCCCTCCAGGGAGCTGGATCAAAAGTAGAACAGCCAGGACTTGAACTGGCACCCACATGGCAACTTTTGCCAGCTATAAAGCCACACCTGGTTTATTCTCCAAATAGCCCCTAAGCCAGGATAGCAGGGGCCTGAGCACTTGGGGCCATAATCTGGAGTCAGGACATGAACTGGTGTCCGTCCATATGGGACATTGGCACATTACAAAACCAGCCCTTTGCTTACTCACTCTCTTTCTGAAGATCTATTTCTTTGAGAGGTAGAGTTAGAAAAACAGAAGGAGGCCTTCTATCCACTAGTTCACTCACCAAATGGCCAAAATAGTCAGAATCGGGCTAGTCTGAAGCCAGGAGCTTCTTTTGTATCTCCCACGTGGGTGCAGGGGCCCAACAACTCAAGCTGTCCTACAGTGCTTCCCTGACACACTAGCAGGGAGCTTGATCAGAAACAAAGTAACTTGACCTTGAATTGGCACCCGTATGTGATTCTGGCTCTGCAGGCAGTAGCTTTATCCATTAGGCCACAGTACCAACTCCTACAGTTCTGTTCCTGATGACACACGCAAAATACCTGCAGTACTTGAGATCCTGCCAATCACATGGGGAGTCTAGATTTAGTTCTTGGTTCCTGGATTCCGCCAGTCCCTACCTTCGTGGGCACCTGGGAAATGAATCAACAGACAGCTCTCTGCCTTTCAGAGAAGTAAAAACAGATGAAAAGATGTGAGAGCTATCTTAGAGGGGATGGCCACCATCAATCCGAGAGATGTAAGGAGCCACAGCTTGGCTTAGGGTTCAGGTCAGGTCACAGTACAACTGTCTTCTCCATGGGTTCCAGGAGGGCCAGGGGAGGAAGCCATCTTACTCGTCTTTGCTACCCAGGACCTGGTCTACGATATGACAAGGAAAGCAGAAGATGTTTGTGGTATACAGAATAAAACTCCTTCTCTTTTTTTTTATTATTGACTGATATTCCCCACACTTTTTTTTGTACCTGTAATAAGTGACATAGCTTGCCAAATAGCCTCTAAAGAACACGAGCCCACAAAAATAAACTCCAGGACCCGGCGTGGTAGCCTAGAGGCTAAAGCCCTCAAATTGCACATGCCGGTACCCACATGGGTGCCAGTTCGTGTCCCGGTGGTTCCATGTCCCATCCAACTTCCTGCCTGTGACCTGAAAAAGCAGTCGAGGATGGCCCAAAGCCTTGGGACCCTACACCTACATGGGATATCCAGAAGAATCTTTCGGCTCCTGGCTTCGGATCAGCACAGCTCCAGCCATTGCAGCCAACTGGGGATTGAATTAACAGATGAAGATCTTCCTCTCTGTCTCTCTTCCTCTCTGTATATCTCCCTTTCCAAGAAAAATAAGACAAATCTTAAAAAAAAATTTTTTTAATGAACTCCAGGGAAGGATCTCTTACTGGAAGACCAAAGCGTGAGCATTACAAAGAGCCTAAGACACTAAGAGAACTGAAGTCTACCTGGGCCATCAGCTCAGACAGCTGACGGGCCTATTTCTGTATATAAAAGATGGGGATAGAATCTCACTGCAAATCTCCAGGTTGCTCTCCTCCCATGCAAAATGTTCTATAGTTCTACTTAACTCCTTTTAACAATGCTTCAAAAATTTGGAAAATTTTGGATTTCCTATCAGAGATTATATCAGACTCAAATCTATAAGAAAGACATGCCCACACTAGATCCTCTCCCACGAGCCTCATGTTGTCCTAATTTTTTTCTCTCAATCTAAGCCAATAGCTTAATTTTTTTTCCACAAAGATCTCTGCGTTTTAGTGCAGAATTTCTGAATTCTCAGTCTGTGTAATCGCCTATCAAAGTAGCAATCCAAGCTCCTGAAACAAGCATTCTGTCTTGTCTACCAAGTTTGACAGGGAGGCATTTCATACGCCCTTAACAAACAGGTCTCATCAAAACGAACATATGAAACTGCTTCAACAAGTTTGTGAAAAAGGAAAATTAACATAAATTTTGCTGCAAATTTTTTTAAATGCACGAAGAGCTGCTCTGTAATGTTTATTTTCCATTTTTATAAACTCCATCTGCCTCTGACGTCATCTGCTCATCTTAGCTCATTTCCAGTCTATGATTCTGAACAGGGCACCTCACTGAAGCTCTAACCCTCATGTATTCCCAAGAGCTTATATTCACACAGGGTCCCATCTGATCAGAGTTGTTATATGCCATGCTAACGGTCTGCCAGACAGACGACCTTTACTAACAGCATCAGTAAATTAACCTGGGGCTGCCGTTTGCATTGCCAGAATCTCTCCCTCCACTAATATGCCTGGAAAGCAGTAAAAGGCGGCTCATGTACTTGAGTGTCTGCCAGCCAGGTGGGAGACTCAGATGGCGTTCTAGGTGCCTTATTTTGGCTGGTCCCAACCCCAGCCAGTGCAGCCTGCTGCTCTTGCAAATAAATTAATCTAAAAATAAAACAAAATGGAAAACAGATATCCACGTGGCTGGTATCTTTACAAGATCTGGAATCAGCAGTTAGGTTGTTGCTTGGGATGTGCACGTCCCTTGGAATGCCTGTTCAAATCTCAGCTCCTCAGCTTCTTAATGCACATCCTGGGAGGCAGGGGACACCTCCCCACGCCCAGGGAAGAAGGAGTTCCAGACTTCTGGCCTCACTCTGGCTCAGTGCTGGTTGTTGAACGAATTTTGGAATTCCTGATTCCTGGCTTTACTCTGGTCAGGCCCTTGGCTGTAGTGAGTTTTGGAGCATGAACCAACAGATGAAAGGAGTTCTCTCTGTCCTCCCTATCACTCTTTCAAACAAATCTTAAAACAAAAGAGAGGGGATGATGACATAGGGCACCTAGGCCACTTAGCACCAGCATCCTGTATCAGTACATGTTCCATTCCCAGCTCTTGTGCTTCCTATCCAGCTTCCTGCTAATGTGCCTAGGAAGGCAGCAAATGATGGTCCAAGCATTTGGGACCTGCCACCGACATGGAAGACCAGGGCAGAGTTCTGCTGCAGTGATGTAATGAGTGAACCAGCAGATGAAAGATCTCTCCATGGCTCTGTCTTTCAAACAAATAATCTTTAAAACAAAGAGGCAATACAGACCTATTTTTCTAACTTTTCTATAAAACTAAAATCATTCCAAAATAAAAAGTTTGTCAGCATGCCATAACAGGAAGCCTCATAACAAATGGTTAGCCTATACTCAAGGACCACAGAAGCATTCTTGGAATGTCCCTTATCCAAGACTCCTAAAGGTGATCGTTTTAACATGTTCACTAGAAAATGTTTTAGGTACTCCAATTCACCTACACTTATTGCAAAGATGACAATCAGAGAAGGAACAATCACAATCTAGAATATTATGAATTTACATGTACATGCTGAATCAAACAGGCTCCACATGACTCATTCACAGAGAATGCAAGAAGCACCTCCCAGGACACCACTCACACTTGGGGTGCTCACATGGAAATTCAGCTTATGACAAGCTTAGAAAGTGCCTCATGTACTTAACCCCAAAGACTCAAAATACTCACTGTTCATTTCATTTACCGCCAGTACCAAGCATAAAACTTTTACCAATTGTGTTGTCTCACCTACTTCTCCCCACTTTCCCCTAAACACTAAGTATTACTCAGTATAAGATTAACATCACAGCAATAAACAAGCCAGAGGTTGCCAAGCAAGTTCTCTGTTGATCAGGGTCCTGAGGGAGCAGGCAGCCCTACAGGTAACGTCTCACTTACTGAACAAGTAACCTGGAGCTGCTGTGGCTGCGGCTGCGGTGGTGGTGTCTGTTCCTGGGGGGTTTGCTGCTGCTGCTGCTGCTGAGGGTCCCATATATGTACAGTCTGAGCCGTGTTCTGATACGTGCCTGCCACGGCCTGCACAGCCACTGGAATGTGGATGTTGCCGTTCATAAACTGTGCTGGAAAGAGAGAGTTTGCAAGGGTCTGCACTACCTCTTCGTGGGAGTTTTTCACTACAGACGTGGTGCCCACCATCTTCTCCTTGTCATCCTCCAGCTTTACAGCTGCCAGTGCTGTGGGTGAGCCACTGACGTGAACTGCATTGTAGGCTTCTTGGGGAATGGCAATGTGGGTAATGCTCTGTTGTTGAGGGTCCCCCCGGGGCTGGGCAGAATAAACAGGGATGGTCCAGGTTTCTCCTGTAGGGCTTGTAATGGTCCCAGTGGCACTGTACAAGTGGGCACTGTCTACTGTCAGTAAGTCTGGCCTCAAAGACACATAACTCTGTTGCTGGCCCTGTGGAATGGCCAGCACGGTGGCCACTGGCTGCCCTGAGATGGCGTAGGACACAGTGATGGGCATGTCCACTTTGCGCTTCTTCACTGGCTGAAGGACACTGGCCGTGCCAACCCGCCGCTCCCCTTCCCGGGGTGAGCCCTGCTGGGATGGTGGTGGGGAAAGGGCACCCACAGTCTGGATCTGGATCTGCTGACCCCCAGCAAGAGACTGGCCAGCCACCAGCTGAGCCTGGATTTGTTGATGTGGGATGTGCTCCTCCGGGATCTCTGCAGCCTGGATCTGCTGGGCCGCCTGCACATGCTGCACCTGGATCTGAGCCGCCTGCAGCTGCGAGGGACTGGGGCTCGGCAGAGACGGGGTCTGCATGGAGGGGGCTGCGGACTGCGGCGCCTGGCCCTGGATCTGCACCTGGACCTGGACGGGTTGCTCGGCAGGCTGGTGAACGGTGAGCTGTGGGGAGAGTTGCTGAGCCAAGACCTGCTGCGGAGACTGCTGTACCTGCACCTGTACCTGTAGCGACAAGATAGACCAATGAGTGAGGCAGCAATGAAAATCCAGCCCTCCAAGGGAAGATTTCAAGGAGCGATGCAGTGTGAAGAAGGGCTACCCAACAATTCTGACAAGGCCGTAAATTCCCAAAATGAAATGCAAAATTCTACAACCCCCCCCCCGCAAAGGCACATATCCAATCCAGAGAACCTAAAAAATACTAGGGTTTTAGCTCATTTTTAACTCTTTCAAAATGAATCCTATTTTTTCAAATATTGGTAAAATAGCACAAGCAAACAATTTATAAATACAATTTAGGTATATTCATATAGATAGTAAAAAATGAAAAAGCTATTCACAGATTTTTAAAAATTACACAATACAATTATACTTAAATTTTAAAGATTTATTTGTTTATGTCCAAGTTAGAATTACATTCAGAGAAAGAGAGATTTTGTATACACTGGTTCACTTCCCAAATGGCCAAAACAGCCAGGGTCAGTCAGGTAGATGCCAGGAGCTTCAGCTAGGGCTTCCACACTGGTAGCAAAGGACTAAACACTTGGGCCATATTCTGATGCATCTCCCAGGGCATTAGCAAAAAGTGACATGGTAAGTAAACAGAAAGGAATCAAGCCAGTGTCCACACTGGATGTTGGTAGCATTTTTACCCACAATATTGCTCCCTAAATTTATCTTTTAATTCTACTGTCCACAAATTTTCTGAAACACTTTTATGGAAAGCAATAAAGAGGAGGACTACTAGTTGAGAAGGTTAGGAAAACAGGTACATTCTATGTCTCCACACAAAAATTTAAAAACCCAACAGACAGACATCTGATGGAATCTAAAATGGAATTACTACTAGCCTCACGCAGACACAGAGGTAGGTGGAAGTAATCAAATGGTAAGACACAGAACAGTATGCCTGTGACCACACCCAAATGTCAGAGCTCAACACCTGGATCTGCTTTGACCCCACCTTCCTACTAAGGTGCACCCTGGGAGGCGCTGGTGATGGCTCAAGCAAGTGGGTTCCTGTAAGCCCCATGGAAGACCTTGATGAAGTGTCCTGCATCCAGCTTCAGATCTGCCAAGCCTGGGCTGTTGAGAGCATTTGGGGAGTAAATCAGTACAAGAGGGATCGATGACTTGCTGGACCAACCTTTTCAGCCCTGGTATCTCCATCTCTGCCTTTCAAATAAATAATCAATTCATTAAAAAAAAAAAAAAAGAACAAAAGTTAGACTTTCCTTGTATCACACAGAAAGAGCGTAAAAGTATCTATACATGCTTTTTTTTTTTTGGTTTAATTTATTTTTATTGGAAAGGCAGATATACAGAGAGGAGGAGAGACAGAGAGGAAGATCTCCCATCCAATAATTCTCTCTCGAAGTGGCCACAATGGCCAGAGCTGAGCCAATTTGAAGCCAGGAGCCAGGAGCCTCTTCCAAGTCTCCCTCATGGGTGCAGGGTCCCAAGGCTTTGGGCCGTCCTCGACTGTTTTCCTAGACCACAGGCAGGGAGTTGGATGGGAAGTGGGGCAGCCGGTACTAGAATCGGCGCCCATATGGGATCCCGGCACATGCGAGGTGAGGACTCATAGCAGCTAAGCCACCGCAGCAGGCCCTATACATACTTTTTTCACAGAACAAACACAAATGACAAATTAAGCACGAAAAATTGCTTGATATTATTAGCTTTTTAAAAAAGATTTATTTATTTTTTATTGGAAAATCAGATATTCAGAGCAGAGGGAGGAAGATCCTCCATCCAATGACTCACTCCCCAAGTGGCCACAATGGCCAGTGCTGCCCAGTGCTGCGCCGACCCAAAGCCAGGAGCCTCCTCCGGGTCTCCCACATGGGTGCAGGGTACCAAAGTCTTTGGGCCGTCCTCGACTGCTTTCCCAGGACACAAGCAGGGAGCTGGATGGGAAGCGGAGCCGCCGGGATCAGAACCGGGGCCCACATGGGATCCTGCGCGTTCAAGGTGAGGACCTTAACTGCTACACCATCGCGCTGGGCCCATCATTAGCTTTGATACATATGTAAATAAAACTACAATGAGACATTATTCACATCCATCTGGATGGCTGAAATTAAAAAAACAAAAACAAAAAAACACTAAAGGGCCTGGAACAGTAACTTAGTAGCTAAAGTCCTTGCTTTGCATGTGCCAGGATTCCATATGGGTGCCAGTTCATATCTCGGTAGCCCTGCTTCCAACCCAGCTCCCTGCTTATGACCTGGGAAAGTCAAAGCCTTGGGACCATGCACCCATGTGGCAGACCCAGAAGAAGTACCTGACTTTGAACCCACTCAGCTCCAGCTATTACAGTCACTTGGGGAATGAACCAGTACATGTAAGATCCTTCTCTATCCTCTTTCTATCTATCTGTCTTTCAAATAAAAATAAATGAAATCCCAGAATGACAGCCTAGCGGCTAAAGTCCTCACCTTGCACACACCAGGATCCCATATGGGTGGCGGTTCTAATTCTGGCAGCCCTGTTTTCCAACTCTTTCAAGTAAATAAATAAATAAATTGCAAAAAGAAAAATAACAAGTACTGATGAAGATATTAAGAAACTAAAGCCTTTAATACGTTACTACTGAAAAAGTACAATTGGTACAGCACTCCTTTATAAAATAGTTTGGGAGCTGCTCAAAGGGTTAAACTTATTTGACAGAAATAGACATTAAATCACGTAATACAACAATTTCACTCCTAAATTATCCAGAAAAACACAATCAGGACTTTATAAGAACTTAATCATAGGGGCAAGCATTGTGGTACAGTGGGTATAACTGATGCCTGAGACACCAGCCTATTCCACACATTCGCCAGTACCATAATTGCTCCAGTTCCAATCCAAGTCCCAGCTAATGCGCCTTGGAAGCAGCAGAGGATGGCCCAATGCAATGGTTGGGCTCCTGCATCCAAGAGGGAGACTCAGAAGAAGCTCCTTGCTTTGAACTGGCCAAATTATAGCCATCATGCCCATCTGGGAAGTGAATCTGGGGACACACCTTTATGTCTCTCCCTTTCTCTGCGTAACTTTGACTTTTAAATACATAAATAAATAAAAGCTTTTACTAAACAAACAAAAAAGGCATTCATAGTTTATAGCAGCACGATTCATAATAGCAAAAAAGCAGAAACTCAAATGTTCATCAACTGATGAATAAATAAAATATGGTATAGCAATACAATGGAATAATCTGTTGTAAAGTTTGTGTTTATTTGAAGGCAGAGAAAGAGATCTCCATCCTCGGATATCCTCCTGGGACAGGAGCCTGAATCCAAGTGCTTTCCGCCATCACATGCTGCTTCCCAGGATGAGCATTAACGGAGCCGGAATTGGAGCCGGAACCGAAAGGCAGGCCCTCTCACATGGGATGCAGATCCCAAGCAGCATCTTAACCACTGGCTAAATGCCTGCCATTCATACAACGGAATACTAGTGGGCAATCAAAGAGATAAAATGTTGATATATGGTATGACACAGATGAATGCTAAAAATAATTCTAAGCAAAGTCAGTCATATGTTCTACAGTTCTTTTCATAGGAAATGTTGCACAGGAATATCTGTACAGAATCAGAGAATAAATGAGTAGTTGTAAAGAGATGAAAGGGTAAAGAAACAAGCAGTAATGCTAATGGAAATTAGATCATCTAGGTGGGATACCTGTACATTACTATTACGTCTGTAATTTTAAATTCTAACTACTTCACTTGTAAAAATTACATGACATTATTTATACTTCTTGTTTCATTTCTGAAAGAAAAGTTAATACTGTAAGGACTTTGTTACAGTCCATTATTCCCAAAAAGGAATTTATCAGGCCTGGTGCAGTAGCCTAGTGGCTAAAGTCCTCACCTTACATGCGCTGGGATCCCATATGGGTGCAACTTCATATCCCAGATGTTTCCCTGCCCTTCTACCTTCCGGCTTATGGCCTGCAAGAGTAGTGGAGGACAACTCTAAACCTTGGTAATCTGCACCTGCGTGGGGGACCCAGAAGAAGCTCCTGGTTCCTGGTTTCACATCGGCTCAGCTCAGGCAGTTGCAGCCACTGGGGAGTTAACCTGCGGGCAGAAGACCTTTCTCTAGGTGTCTCCTTCTCTTTGCATATTTGTCTTTCCAATAATAATAAAAAATATTAAAGCAAAGAAACAAAGAAAAAGAAATAAGCCTATGATTAAATTGTAATAGAATTTTTTTCCCCTTAAATTCAGTATCCTTTTTTTTTTTTTTACAAGATCTACCTTTTTTCTATTTGAAATGCAGAGTTACAGAGACAAACAGCGAGGGGGTGAGAGATTTTCCATCTGCTGGTTCACTACCCAAATGGCCACAAGAGCCAGAGCCGCGCTGATGGGACAGACAGCTGGCACAGTGTTTAGATGTTGCTTGAGGTACCCATAGCCCTTATTACACCCTATTCTAGGTAATGCACACCATGGGAACCGCAGCAGGTAACAGCCAAAATACTTGGGTCCTTGCTATCTATCGGAAAGACACAGCTGGGCGTTCTGAGAGCTGGGCTTTCTGTCTGGCCCATCAGCTTACTGCAGGTATCTGAGGAATGACTCAGTGTATGGAAGAATCTGTCCCCTCTCCCTCTCTCCATCTCTCTGTCTTTCAAAATAAAATAACTAGTAAAAATAAATAACCACGATAAACCAGGATTGCAGTTTCAGAGCCCATGTCCTGCCAATATAATTGTCTGTATTCCTCAGGGCCATAGGGTCATATTCAAAACCCTCTACCTCATCAGATACATCTCTCCACAATCCTGGTTTTTCTATCATGTTTCCCTTCCTTTCCTGTTTCCTTGATGTTAAAAAAACAAAACAATCAAATAAAAAACACTATCCAGAGTTAAATGAAACTCAAACCACAGTGGCATCACAGTGGTATTTGTAGGGCCTGGCACGATGGATCCCATATGGGCGCCGGTTCTAATCCCAGCGGCCCCGCTTCCCATCCAGCTCCCTGCCTGTGGCCCGGGAAAGCAGTCGAGGACGGCCCAAAGCTTTGGGACACTGCACGCGCGTGGGAGACCTGGAAGAGTCTCCTGGCTTCAAATTGGCATAGCATCGGCCATTGTGCTCACTTGGGGAGTGAATCATCGGACGGAAGATCTTCCTCTCTGTCTCTCCTCCTCTCTGTATATCCGCCTTTCCAATAAAAATAAAATAAATCTTTAAAAAAAAAAACAGTATTTGTAACTGGAAATAATTACTACTAAGGAAAAAATATATCAGTTCTCCCTTTCAGTAAGTTTATTAATAGTATTATTTCTTGAGGCTTACATATAACAAATGCCAACCTAGAAATTTTATAAAGAGTTACAGATGCACACAAGTAAGCAAACATTGCTATAATACATCATCATTTTCATATTAGAGCAAATACGATGCTTGCATAAGCCCATGTTAGCATTCCCATGCTGTCCTGCTCTGGCTGACACAGATAAAAGAGAAGATTCAGTCACATTCAAATTCACTCTCAGTATTATTTAACTCTCCAAAGCAAACAGCAACGACCTGTGGTCTTTTCAGTTTATAGTGATGGAAATATTTTTAAGCCATACTAACCAGACAGCATTAGTATTTAACAGAATTTTATTTTTTTTAAAGATTTATTTTTATTATTTTTTCATTGGAAAGGCGGATATACAGAGAGGAGAGACAGAGAGGAAGATCTTCCGTCCGATGATTCACTCCCCAGGTGAGCGCAACGGGCCAATACTATGCCAATCCGAAGCCAGGAGCCTCTTCCGGGTCTCCCATGCGGGTGCAGGGTCCCAAAGCTTTGGGCTGTCCTCGACTGCCTTCCCAGGCCACAGGCAGGGAGCTGGAAGGGAAGCGGGGCTGCCAGGATTAGAACCGGCGCCCATATGGGATCCCGGGCGTGCAAGGCGAGGACCTTTAACCACTTGCGCCACCGCGCCGGGCCCTATTCAACAGAATTTTAAAGATTCCCTTCAGTGGAGGGGAATCCCAGACTCTATGGAATTGTACCATAAAATTCAAAATTAAAAAAAAAAAATTAAAAGATTCCTTTAGTGAAAAGTAACATGTAACATTAAAATAACATGTAAATTTGATGTTTCTATTAATCAAAACCTTTAGAGTAAATAAATTATACAAAACAGAATGCACCACACAATTGTGCTTACCTGAACCTGCTGTGGCTGCTGTACCTGGATCTGCTGTTCCTGCTGTGTCTGTGGTTGAACGCTGGTGGTGACTGGACAGGCAAGTTCAAGCAAAGACCCAGCCACTTCCGTACTGTCTGTGTAAATGCAATTCCCACCCTGCTGGTACACCATGGTGGTGGTGGCTGTCTGCTGGAACTCCTGAAGGGCTTCTGGCCCCTTCGAGGCCAGCGAGTCCAGAAATTCCTTCATCCTGTGCTGTGGAACAGACCGGGCCTTCACGCGGATATACTCTTCAAAGGAGATGGTATTCTCCAGGGAATTATTCATATTGCAGAGTCCTTAGGGTTCCTAGAAATAAGTATACAGAAGTCAAAATTATGCTATTTTTTTTTTTTTTTTTTGCTTTAGAAATGTGCAGAAACAATCCCCCTTGTATCAGGGGAGTACTATGTACACCCAGAATCTACAGGGAAGTTTCATGATACCACCTTATTTTCTCACAATAGTACTTAAAAATCATTCTCACTCACATTTCTCAAAATCAAACCACTACACCACACCGAAAACAAAGAGAAGCATGCTCCATGGTACTGGATAAACAGGCTGAATACATATGCCCCTCCCAGCACTAGGCCAACCTCATTTTCTCTGCAGAGCCAAGCACTGGATGGTAAATATCACATGCAAAATTGCTTTGTGAGGGACAGACAGAACAACCAAACAAAAAGGATGCAAGGAGCAGATTCCTACTTATATGGTGTTACTTCCACTGCCAACTAGGTCCCACAAGAGACAGGAGTGCCACCCATTTGGGCCATGACCCAAAACACATCTCCCAACCAAAACACCAAAAAACCTCACTTGCCATAAGCTGCTACTATTGCTTTACAGCAAGGTTTACAGGTAAAGAGCATAAACTCTGGAGCCAGACTCCCTGGATTCACATCTTAATTCAATCTTTCCTTAGACATGCAACTTAAGCAAATCAGTTATTCTTAGCTTCATCCATGAATTGGGATTAAAATTACACTTACCTCAAAGGTGACAAAATATGCAAAGCACTTAAAGAAATAGTACCAAAAAACCAAAAACAATAATAAAAAAACAAGAAACAAGACAAACAAAAAGTAACATCTAATCCACAGATAACACTACACTGTCAACCAATTTTTTTAAATTAGGGAAGATTTTAAGAGGATCTTAAATAACTAGGTCACTATTGAAATTCAGAAATCAATTCTGCAAAGTTCTTCTTCCTTTTTTTTTTTTAAATCATGTATTTTAGAATCAGAAAGGTGCCTAAAACCTGAAAGAAAACAGTACCACCTAAAGACTGTTGGGTGCCCAGTCGATGGTGGCCTGGCCACATCCTCTAGGAAAGTGATTTTGTTTTTCTGAGTCATCATGTCAGAAATATCAGCCAGTTTATCAATTTCTAATCCTTTTCCTTTGCAGATACAAAGTAAATGGGAAACTACCTCATTTCTACGTGGCTTTGAATTCCTGGAAGACAAGATTATGTCTTGGGAGGAGGGGCCAACACTGTGGTATGTAGTGTGTAAAACTACTGCCTGCAGTGCTGGCATCCCATAATGGCACCAGTTTGAGTCTCAACTACTCCAATTGCAATCCAGATCCCTGCTAATGTGCACAGAAAGCAGTAGGATGACCCAAGTGCCTGGACCCTGAAACCCTTGTGGGAGACCCGGAAGAAGTCCCTACCTTCCGTCCAACCCAGCTCGAGCTGCTGTGGCCACTTAGGGAGCAAAACAGGGAAGATCCTCCCTGACTCTTGTCTTTCAAGTAAAATTTTTAAAGTGTTTTTTGTTTGTATGATAGTTTTTAAATAAAGAAGTATGGCCTGACCTTCCCTGAATAGTCTACATAAGGCACGTGTAGCATTTGGAATTCAAGTTGGAATAAGCAGCATCACAATGCCTCATACCTTTAATGACTAACCATACATTAGTTCCTAACCTAGTAGTAAACATCACAGAAAAGATGTACACTTCTTTCTCCTAGTAAATGATTAGTATACACCTGGGACGAAAACCTACACATCCAGGGCAAAAGTGAAACAAAATCAAAATACACAGTCCTTACTACAAGTAATCATAGCTACATATGTGAAAAGCCTATGTCTAGTGTACAAATTACTGAGGTGTATTTAAACAGAATAGACCAGCACTTTTTCTTTTTAACAAGGCATGTATTACAAATTCTTTCTCCCTAAGTAAGGAAACACAGAGACCAGACCTTTCAGGCCACACATCTTGGGAAACCCAAAGCACAGCAGAGCACCCAAAGCAATGTTCCCTGCCCTTCCCCATATTTTCTGAGCCTGTCTTCCATCGAAAGCTCCTAGAGAGCAAGGAGAGCAGGACAGTTACCTTCTCTGAATACAAATTAAGTCTGCTGTGACAGTTTAAAATTAAGATAACAACCACGCCCACGGCACATGGAGACAAGAACATCCAGGCCAAGCACACTGTCCTTGCCTTGTGGGTTCAGAACATGCCACCTCACAAACATGACCCATGAGCTCTCACCAGCCACACTGGCACAGAACGTGTTAAAGCAGCCCTGCTAACATCAACACGCCAACTTCCTTAAGGTGGGGTCTCTGCAGGGTAAACTGCGGGTGAAACACCCTCACATTTGAATAGCAGGGCCCGAGTCTCAGCTGGGCTTGGCTCTGATTCCAGCTTTCCGCTGAGGCTCAGCAGGGAAGCAGCAGGTGATGGCTAACTGGGAGGGGCCCTACCTCCAACATGGGGACCGTGACAGGGGTCCTGCTGCTGGCCTCCTCCCAGCCAAGGTAGGCACTGGGTGGCATCTGGGGAGAAAACCAGCAGATAGATGTGTCTCTTTCTAATAAACAAACAGAACTTGTATAAAAGCACCTATCATAATCAAGTTCAAATATCATAAAATTTATAATGTGACACAATTTTTTAAGTTTATTTATTTTTATTGGAAAGGCAGATATACAGAGAGGAGGAGAGACAGAGAAGATCTTCTGTCCAATGATTCACTCCCCAAGTGACAGCAGCAACCAGAGCCACGTTAATCCGAACCCAGGAGCCAGGAGCTTCTTCCGGGTGCAGGGTCCCAAGATTTTGGGAGATCCTCCACTGCTTTCTCAGGCCACAGCAGGGAGCTGGATGGGAAGCAGGGCCACCAGGATTAGAACCAGAGTCTAAATAGGATCTTAGTGGGTTCAAAAAGAGGACATTAGCCACTAGGCTATTATGCCGGACCCAACCATAATTTCTAATTATACCTACCCTTTGGCTAAAAAGAGGATAAAGATGACATAAGCAGTCTCCAACTAATCCTTTCCTAGCTCAGAATTCAGTTTGTAATTTTTTTTCAAAGATCAATGAAAATTTATATTTCCTAAAATGTATTTTCTTCAACAATGAGCTTTATGTCCATAAAATATGGAAAGAATGCTTAACTTTTCAAGATTGCCTGTGGTAAAATTGCAGTTCCTATGCAAAACCAATTATTGAAAACACACATGAAGTAATCCAGTGAACTTTGTTGTCTTAAATCTGAGAAAAGTACAGATATCAACACAAAGCAAACAGAAAAATTCAGGTTCCAGGCCCAATGCAATAGTCTAGTGGCTCAAGTACTAGCCTTGAACCCACTGGGATCCCATATGGGCGCTGGTTCTAATCCCGGCTGCCCCGCTTCCCATCCAGCTCCCTGCCTGTGGCCTGGGAAAGCAGTGGAGGACGGCCCAAAGCTTTGGGACCCTGCACCTGCATGGGAGACCCAGAAGAAGCTCCTGGCTCCTGACTTCAGATTGGCACAGCTCCGGCCATTGCGGTCACTTGGGCAGTGACTAATCAGATGGAAGATCTTCCTCTTTGTCTCTCCTCCTTTCTGTATATCTACCTTTCCAATAAAAATAAATAAATTTTTTAAAAATAAATTCAGATTCCAGAACTGGACAGTCTTTGTAGGAGTGCTGCTATTTAGGAAAGCAAAGTTCCCACATCCCCCAGTGGAGTCAAACCTGCATCTCCATTTTGATGTTAAGTCTGAAGGAAAACTTCACCAGCTTTTCTTTCTGCAAACAAAATTTTTCCACAGAGCTAACGTGCATCTAGCTTTTTGGAGGTAAGCCGGGGAAGGCAGTGGGAGTCAGTGATGTGATAGATTACAATCAACAATCTACCAATTGTAAACATCTACCACCTGCTAGGCACAGTCTGAGGCACCTTGCCAAACCTGACCACTACCATTTTTTATTTTTGCTATAATCAATTACTTTGAACTTGCATTTGTAGATTCAGTAATTTTAATTTCAGAGTTATCTCTAAATGTCACCCTGTCAGATAAGAAAATTAACGTTCCAGGCTGTGTATCTTTGATAAGCAGGGTACAATTTTGTTTAATCAATCATACATTTTTCCTTTTAGCATGCGGCAAAATCTGAAAATGAAGGTTCCCAACAATACAAACAATCCTGCTGCCCAGAACCTTCCAGCAACTCCTGTCAGCAACTCTACACTAGTATTTTCAAAAAGTTACAAGAAATTCCAATCCAGGGCCAGCTGCGGTGGCCTAGTGGCTAAAGTCCTCCCATTGAATGCGCCAGGATCCCAAATGTGTGCTAGTTCTAATCCCAGCAGCCCTGCTTCCCATCCAACTCCCTGCCTGTGGCCTGGGAAAGCAGTCGAGGAAGGCCCAGAGCGTTGGAATCCTGCACCCATGTGGGAGACCCAGAAAATATCCAAATATATGCTTTAAACTTTCCTGCAACTGTGTCATAAAATAATAATAAAAAATTCCTTGTACATTTAAGAAAAAGAAAAAATATATAGGAACTACTTCCAAGCTTTCTGTGTGTGATTCCAATGATGGTCCCACAACTTCAGAAAAAGCATGTCAACATTTGTATTCCTTACCCCAACCAATTTTTAATTACCAATATTTAATGACAAAGTGACATATGCAGAAAAAGGCAGCCAACAAATTTTATTTACATTTCCCAGTACTGTTTAATCATATATATTTAGGAAAAACACCTGGCAGAATACACACAGAGAGAAAATGCTACCAGGCACACCTAGATGATGCAATCACACAGGATTTAAGTTTCTCCCTTTCTAATACTCTCCTGTATCTTCCACCAATTGTATTAAATAGAAAAGGTAACTATAACACAATATGTGGGGCTGGCACTGAGTTACAGTGGGCTAACCTGCTACCACATCACCGGCTTCCCGGTGGTTCAAGTCAGGGCTGCTTCATTTCTTTTTTTTTTTTTTTTTTTAAGATTTATTTTATTTTTATTGGAAAGGCGGATATACAGAGAGGAGAGACAGAGAGGA